TATGTGTATCTTGAATGAAAAACACACAATGTTTGAAAGTACACAAAATTAGTAATACTATTAAAGAACAGGTCTTAAGTATTTATGTTACACTATTTCCATTGCATTAAAGAGACAAATTGAAGAAAAATATTTAATAAACATGAGGGTTATGAGGGGGTCCCTGAAACTTTTTCTCCCCTGTAAGGGGTCCCTGAACCCCAAAAGTTTGAGAACCCCGGTACTTAATGTGAACTTTTATGTAGATGTCTTTATTGATTTGCTCTGTTTTTAGGCTTAACTGTTTTATATCTAGCAAATTAAAACAAATAATCAAATGTTCTTTGTGGGCAGAATTAGTGTTCATTAATCCTGTTCAAAGCACTGTAGTTTAAAATACAGTAATTTGTGGGAATTTAAAGTTGCTTGTGGTTTGACTTAATCTTGATCAACTTAAAAGGTCTGAATCTTTGTTCTGGTTTTATATTGCTTGTCTGTAGATTTTTTTTTAGCTAAAATACTAGCCTTGTTTGCAAATAAATATTTAACATTTATTTTAGATGTGTGGCAAAAATGCATGTAAAAGCTCTCACTAGATATTTGGTTTGACTGGAACAGTTTAAGTGTCTGGGGCGTCTCATTGTTAACAGATGTAGAAAAATATGTGCAGATCAAATGAGTATGATGTAACTAACAATTTCTAGAAACTGAGACACTAAACAAGGTTTGGCTTTGGCAAGGTCCTATATCTTTCTGACACTTGTTGTTGTATTAATCATTCCACAAAGCAAACTTGCAATATCATTTTTTGTAAAGAACTGTGTAACTTCATAACACAATTGCTAAATAAAAAAAAAAGTTTTATTATCGAGATAATATTGATATTAGGGTTTTGAGCATTTCTCTGATTTTCATGTGTCCATTTCCGCAGCATCGGTCACACAACACGGGAACCATACTTTGGAGAGGAGAATGGAATTGATTACCATTTTGTCAGTAACGAAGACTTTCAAAACATGATTTACATGGTGAGTGAGGTTTAAATTTGTTTTTGTGTCAGAAGCACAGAGAAGAAAAATGAACTTCTCATTTCCTTTTGGTTTATTGACTCAAAATAGTTTTGGTTATTGGTGCCATAAATCATTCATAGATATTAACACTTGTCCATATTTTAACTAAACATGCAGTGAGTTTTAATGTGAAAAGCTGTACTTTAAGGGTTGTAGATTCACACATCTCCTTCAGCAAGTTTCAAATTGATTTCACTCTCTGGCTTTGATGAGTTGTGTTGTTGGGATACTTAGTTTTCTTTGGGTGAATTGATTTCACTTTAACCGGCTGATTTTTTAAAAAGATACCTTCCACTAAATGAAGCTTCTGAAAAGCTTCTCGGGACAGACAGGATTAGTTTAATTTAATTTCAGGATGAATTATTAAAGCATCTCTTACAGCTCTTTCAATGCAGGTGATAATTAATAGCGTAAGACATTGACAAGGACACTGAAAACCATCAGTACGTTCACACTGGTAAAATTTTATAAAAACTAAAAAGATTGTTTAATGCCTATTTTATTTAAAGTTAAAAAACATTAAATCTTTAAACAGGTTTCTCAGTAAGGAAAATAAACTGTTGACAATTCAAGGACACATTTGTTTTTTATCTTGTCTCCATGTCAAGTTGTCTGGTGGGGGGTTATTTATAGACCTGGTCTCATAGTGATTCACACAGGATGGGCTTTGATGCAGATATTGATGTCTTTTGTCTTCTCTCCAGCAGAAGAGATTTTTACAATCTGTCCCTCCCCTTATTTAATTCCTGTATTCTTTTCCTTCCTCTGTTGCCAGAAATGTGTTTTATTGCTGTTCTATTCCTAATTTCGAACTCTTCAAACTCTCACCGTTTATGCCAAGTGTTGCATTTTAGTCTTCAGACGTGCTTTTCTGTACGCAGTCATACACGTTTTAAAACACTTGTGTTTGACATACAATTTTAATGTAAATTACATCTAATTCAATTTGTAGCGAGCTACATACAGTGCATTAATTTTCACTATTGTTACATTTTTTCCCCCCAAGAAACAAATAAATGTAAATTAAGCCAAGTTAGATAAGACTTTTTACTGCTGAAGGGAGCCCATCAAAGCAAACATTTTTTTTGTTGACATTACAAAACATTTTCTTAATTCTGCATGTCCTTTTTTTAATTGAGCACAGTAACTGTGCAGGAGAGAACATACAGTATCTCTCCAGTTTTAGCTTTTCTCCACTGGCTTCCTGTCAAATTCAGAATTTAGTTCAAAATCTTACTTCCAACCTACAAAGCTCTCAACAACCTAGCTCCATCTTATATTACAGATCTTATTGTTGCATATTTTCCCAACAGAGTACTTCACTCTCAGACTTCAGGCTTACTTGTAGTTTGAAGAGTTTCCAAAAGCAGAATGGGAGGAAGATCTTTCAGTTATCAGGCTCCTGTGGAACCAATTTCCAGTTTCTGTCTGGAGGGCTGACACATTGTACAGTTTTAAGGCTGGGTTTAAGACTTTCCTTTTTGATAAATCATATAGTTAGGGTTGGCTTGTTGTGCTGCCATAGGCTGAGACTACTCGAGGGAAAATAGACCACCTTTTCTAAAATGAATTGTTACAATTGAATAGTTTTCATTTGAAATTAATTCTATCTATATAATGCGATTATCGACCTGCCATGGTGTATCTCTTCCTCCTTCCTGTTCCTCTCAAACCCAGTTGGTCGAAGCAGATGCCGCTTGTCCTGAGCCTGGTTCTGCTGGAGGTTTCTTCCTCATGAGGGAGTTTTTCCTTTCCACTGTTGCCTTTATGCTGGCTCAAGATGAGAGCTTGCAATAAAGTTAAACTCAAAGCAGTCTGCTCCTCAGATAATTAATGTTATTCAATTACTATTTATATATATGAATGTGTCTGTTCAGTGCCCTGAGATGACTTCTGTTGTGACTTGGCGATATATAAATCAACTGACTGAACTATGAGAAAGAAGTCTAAACAAAACCATATTCAAGAATATTACATAGATTTTTAAAAATCTCATCACAATTATTACTGTTCTGTTTAAATATGCCTTAATTGAATTTTGTGTGTGCTAATTGATTAGCTAAACAGGTATTGGATTTGCCTTTAAGTTTTTTTCAAAGCAGTAAAGTTTGCTGTTCAAAGAAAACCGTTTTAAAAAGATGGTTAGCCAAAAGGACAGGGGGTCATGCGTGAGAAGTAACAACGATTATTACCCTTTCTACAAGGTCAAAAGTTCAATTCCCAGGTGGGTGAATGTCTTCGAGTTAAGTCTGACATAACATGCTGAAGTTATGTGTATGTATGTCTGCTGTGCTGTTATGTCAGGATATTGTTTTAATAAAAATGTCTTTTTTTCTTTTTCTCATTAACCTAAATTTGATGTAAGGGTAAATTTATCCAGACGGTCCGGTTTGGGGATCATCAATTTGGCCTCACCAGAGATGCCATAGAGACGGTGGCTAAAGAGGGACTGGCTTGTTGTGTGCATGTGGAGCTGGAGGTATGTGTATATAAAAATAATGTGTTGTGTATATAAAAATAATGTGTTGTTTATTAGGTTGCCTAAAACTACGTGAGACCAATTTACCCAGAATATTTAGTGAATTGTGATTGTTTCCAACGTATATTAAATAAAACAATTCAACTATAGTTTGCAAGCAACTTACTGTATACTGTTTTTGTATTGACGCAGGGCGTGTTCAGTCTAAAGAAGAGCTTCTTTGAACCTCGATACATCCTGCTTCTACCCACACAGCTGGAGAAATACATAAACCGCCTGAAAAGTCTGGAAGTCTATACTCCAGCGCAGATTGATGTTGAAGTGTCACGGGTGGAGCTGTATGCCAACACCAACTCACAACTCCCAAGATTCTTCGATTATGTCATTCCTTGTGGTATTGGAAAAAAAAAAAAACTTTTCACTAAAATACTTTTTTGTTATACCCTACATATAATTATTCAAATATGTCATATAATCAATTTAATGCCCATTGCTATGTAAGGTGTAATAATAGTCACATTTAATTATAAATAAACATGAGTTTTAAGATATTAAAAAACTAAATTCCAGGGTAGATATTTCAATTTTACTTATAAACTTGATAGTAATGCTATACTTTGAAGGTTTTGGCATTATTGCCCTGTTCACAGGCAGTTTGTCATTATGGTGTCTTGCAAAATGCAGTCCAAGCATAGTGTCAGATGGATTAGCTTCACCAAAATCCATACACTATACTTTAAATCCAATTACCACATGTATCAAAGACATATAGCTGCAGGATAGCTGTGTTTATCTTTCCTCGTGATAGCACTCAGACATGTTTGCTGGTTTTTAATGAGATGAGCGCACAGTGACCGTGAGACACTCATCATTTTTATGCACCGTTAGCTAGCACCTCATTACACTAAGGTCAAGATCTCCATATCTTTGATTCATGGCTGTTTGATGGTAGATGCATTTGGTCTATTGAGAAACAGATTTTTTTTGGTGTGTGTATGTGTGTAACTACACATGTGCTCAAATAGATGACTTGGAAGAAGCCTACCAGACACTGCAGCAGATGGTGAAGGACTACCTGTCGCTTGAGGAGGAGGAGAAGGAAGAAGAAAAGAGCAGAGGAGCATCCCCTGTTTGCACATTCACAGGTATCTCAGTTAAAGCATCAGCATTATGTTGATAACTGTCAAATAAGACACTGGCAGTAAAGTGCAGTCAGTGGTTTTTTCATGATTTGACCTTTTAAATTCAGAGGACCACTTCATCAGTTTTACATGTCCGTTTACACCAGTCAGCAACATCAACCACTTGCCTGGTAACACACTGGTTCAGCTGTCACTGATGGTTATTTTGCCATTAAAAACTTTAGGTTGATTGTATGTCATAAAGTAAGATCAAGAAAAATGCTGATTAACTGCTTAATTTAGTGATCATTTATGTTTATATTGTATCATTTCATTTTATATTTTTATGTGGTCATGGATGACATTTGGTGACTTTAAAACCAAAAAGGAACGTTTAGTAAGTCTCTTTTGTCTCCAGCAGGAATGTCAACCTCATCACGGTCTGGGACAGGATCAGGGACATGTACTTCACTTTCTGCATCACCTTCTGACCCCTCAGACTCCATCTACAGACCCTATGCAATCCAGGCAGAGCTAAATTCTCAAATAACCCCAGTTGTGAGTTTTAAAAAAATTAAATAAACAATTGAAACATTTATTGGTAAATTTAAATAAAATTTAAAACATTTTTAACAGACATTTTAAGATGATCGAACTTTTATTGACTCATTTTAATCACATCTTTAGCATTAAATTCTCTTTTCTGGTTCTTTCTGCAGGAGCTAGCTTCCATCAGGAAGCGAGAGCAGCTAGTGAGAGAAGCTATTGCTGGGAGGAGACCAGGGGTCTTAAGCCAGCTCTTTAAAAGGTACAAACAAGAGGCAGGTCCTCCACTACACTCTAGTGTTTAATTTTAAGTAGACACTTTCTGTTTGGCCAAATTGGTGTAATTGCAACACTTATCCCACAATAACTGCATTTTGATGGCTTGGTCAAGTAGCAGGTGTTCAAATTATTTAATTCAAACTATTTGTTAACAACATTGAGGATTTTTTCTTCTTTTTGACTGAGCTTTTTACTCACTTGTTCTAAAATACACAATCACTACAGTATATTAAACAATGAAAACACATGCATAGAGTATGTTTGTTTCTGTAGATTTAATAAGGTACAGTCTATTTAATTATAGTTTTGATTGTTTTTCTTAGTGTTTCTCCAACATCATCTCTACAGAATAAAGTTCCCAGTACACATTTTCCAGAGGATGACAGGTAAGTAAGTACAAAGTACACACAACAAACGACTTCTCATGCTCAGCCAATGCAGCTAAAAAACAACAAAACAAGGGGAAGAAAATGCATAGAATTACTCTGACGTGGCTTCAAATTTCATTAAAAGAACCCTATTGATGTATGTAGAGGGAGACCATTTTTTTTGTTATTCCAATCTGAAGGTTTTGGAGCTTTATTAGCATTCTTGACTCCAATGAGCAATTTTTTAAATACGGGCTCCTTTTTATAGACATTTTTGGTTCATTTTTAGGCCATGTGAGGACTAATCTACACATACACAGTTATACATTTGGTACACATCAATACACCGTCTCATAAATATAAGTTTTGTGGCTTTTTGCTGATTTGGATTCCCATCTGTACACTCTTAAGCTCAATAAACATGCTGCTCAAATCAAATCAAATCAAATTAAACAGACATACAGCAATTGTATTTTGTGCGATGATGGGTGTCAATGCAATAGCAACTGTAAAACTGCAGTTATTACAGTATCTATTGATTTTTTTTTATATGCAATCTAAAATGTGTACAGTGATTAGTACAAACTGACCTGTGATGTGGTGGTGGTGGTGGGGGGGGGGGGGGACAAGCTTAGCTCATTCTGCCGTCAGAGTCGGAGTGCAGTTTGCATTACTCACCCGTTCAGTATTTCTGTGAAGGATTCCAAACATCCGTCTGCTTGTTAGGACTTCTCTTAAAAGGGATGTGTCTTCACCTGTGGATTTCTCTCACATTTGTCACTGACATGAACAGATTATCAAACAAGGAGCTCAGGCCTCACATTTACTCCAGCCCAACACTTTTTCTGAAATTTATGGATGCCTATTTATTTTTGTTTTTATAGATATATATTTTACATCTGTTTGTAGTTAGCTTTTTATCGCTTTATGTCATATTAATTTCATAGCATGGGCATTTCTCCATAACTGTTTTGTTTCATAATGTTGTGATTTTATGTTTACCTTGTGGGTTTTTGTGCTTTTGGTTATTTGGCATCCCTTAATGGTTGCTTTTTGTCCAGTTTTCATCACTTTGCATCTCATTGATTAGTTTCTCCTTGTAGTTCATGTTTCGTTTAGCCATGTTGTGTCTTTAAAAAATTGGTGTTAAAAATTGGTCATATCGCATTTTCATTTATTTTTACTCTCTTGTTTTCTGTTTTCCTTGAAATACTTGAGATTGTTGTGTTTGCTGTTTTGATTGTTCTGGGATTAGGCTGGGATTAAGCTTGCCCAGTTAACCTGTTCATCAATATACTCCTGTTAACAAAGAATTGTATTTTTCTTATGGTATTTTTAATTCATAGAGAAGTTTAGATGTGCAAAATAAACAGTAGTTACATGTAATTGTTTCTACAAAGAGCCGTCCTCACATTATTATCACATTAGTGGTTTGCTACACGAACATGATGGAGAGTCCAGGAGGAACACTGATACTGGACGCTCAAAAGTAAAATGATGTTAAAACCAGTTTCCACAAAGGTTTTTCTTTGAATAAACTTTTGATTATTTTGCTGCTTTCCCCTTTTACAGCCATATACTGGTATTTATGTACATTGTAAATGTGTATTATGTGTACATATAATAAATGAGTATACTGTAAATGTGTATTTATGTATGCATAAAGAGGAGTAGACCCACAGGCCACAATCAACAACCTGATCAACTTTATGCGAAGGAGGTGTGTTGCACTGTGTGAGGCAAATGGTTGTCACACCAGATACTGACTGGTTTTCTGGCCGCCCTGGATCCCACCCCCCTAATAAAGTAAAATTGCACATTTTTGAGTGGACTTTAATTGTGGCCAGCCTAAGTCACTTGTACAATAATCATTCTGTCTGAGCAGCATCTTGATATGCCACACCTGTGGGGTGGATGGGTTATCATGGCAAAGGAAAAATGCTCTTCAGCTCACACAGAATTACACAAATTTGTGAACGATATTTGAGATTTTTTTTTAAAAACATATTGTGTACATGGAAAATGTTCAGAGCTCAGCTCATGAAAAATGAGAGCAAAAGCAAGAGTGCTGAGTTTATGTTTTTGTACAGTATATTTTGCAACCAACATTACACATGCCTTGATAAAATCTTATATCTCTACTTGTGTCTTTTTTATCTATGTATTTTTATTTATTTCCTTGATCTCTTCTTTTTTGTTGTTGATTTATTAGCAGCTCAGATGAGTCTTGTGCCAGCTCAGCTCTGTCTGTTCCTGGTTCAGATGGCAACTTAAAGAAACCTCTAAATACCTCTGTCCTGGTTCGTCGCATGGATGCACTCGAAGGTTATTGTTGCTCTTTAAGAATATTTTAAGATGTCGGAATCTTGTTACGCATTTGGCAAAGAAATACAAGAAAAACTTTTTAGTTCATAAAAAACTGTTTTGCTCTGTTGTTTTATTTGAAATACTATCAGTTCAGTTCAGTTTATTTATATAGCACCAAGTCACAACATAAGTCATCTCAGGGCACTGAACAGAAACATTCATATATAAAATAAGAATAATAATAATAATAATATATAGACATTGTAGCGTACCCTGGGTCTTCCCCAGGGTCGCCTCCCAGTCGGACATGCCGAAAGCACCTCTCTAGGGAGGCGCCCAGGGTGCATCCTTACCAGATACCCAAACCACCTCAACTGGCTCCTCTCGATGTGGAGGAGCAGCGGTTCTACTCCGAGTCTCTCACGGATAACTGAACTTCTCATCCTATTTCTAAGGGAGAGTTCAACTACCCAGCGAAGGAAACTCATTTAAACCACCTGGATGTGCGATCTTATCTTTTCGCTCACTACCCAGAGTTTGTGGCCATATAGGTGAGGGTAGGAACATAGACCGACAGGTAAACAGAGCTTTGCCTTACAGCTCAACTCTTGCTTCACCACAACGGACCGGCACAGTGTCCACAATACTGCAAACGCTGCATCAATCCATCTGTCAATCGCACGCTCTATTTTTCCCTTTCTTGTAAACAAAACCCCAAGATACTTGAACTCCTCCACTTGAGGCAGAACCTCACCCTCGACCTGAAGAGAACAGTCCACCCTTTTGCGGCTGAGGACCATGGCCTCAGATTTGGAGGTGCTGATTCTCATCCCCCCCGCTTCACACTTGGCTGCAAACTGCTCCAGTGAGAGCTGAAGATCACGGCACGATGACGCCAACAGGACCACTTCTTCTGCAAAGAGCACAGATGAAGCCACCAAACCAGACTCTCACAGCCCACTGGATGCACCAAGAAATTTTGTCCATAAAAGTTATGAACAGAATCGGTGACAATGGGCAGCTCTGGCGGAGTCAAACTCCCACCATGAAGGGGTCCGACTTACTGCCGACAATGCGAACCAAACTCTCACATCGCTTGTAAAGAGACCAAATAGCCCGTAGCAACATCACCCTCCTCCCTCCACACCGGAAATGCATTTATTCTGAAGACTTCTGTGGACAAAATAAAAAATGAGCTCAGTGTCCCTTGTCTGGACATGGGTTGTTACTGGGGCCCCACCCTGGAGCCAGGCCTGGTGACCAGGTCTCACCCACGGGGCATGGTCGGGCACAGCCCGAATGAGCAGCATGGGTTTGCTTTCCTGCAGGCCCACCACCTGCAGGAGGGGCCTCGTGTAACCAAAACTTTACATGCAAAGAACATTCTAGAGATCTTTATGAGTTTTCATATCTATGGATTTTTATACATGTAATATATTAATGTTTCTGTTCAGTGACCTGAGATAACTTCTGTTGACTTGGCACTATATGAATAAACTGAATCGAAGTAAACTGAATTGAATTGCAGGTATTAAGTTAAATATTTTCATTTCAGACAACATGCCATCAGACATCATTTCCAACACTCCTCATCCAACAACTGATGAATTTCCTGGAGTTGGGTCTCCCTCTTCTGACGGTCGGCCAGGATCCAAAGCTAAGATCATCCTTCCTCCAATCTCTACTGGGCAGAAAACCCCTGCAGTCTCCAGTCCAACTCAATCTCCTATACTCAGCCCAGACCTGGCAGGGGAAGAGGCAGGGACTGCAAACATGGAAGAATAGTTTTGAAGGAGGTACTTAAACCAATTTTACAAATATTAAAAGTTTTCATGATGGTAAAATTGTTTAAAATAAAGTACGGTACATAATATTTAAAATGATAAAACTAGCTAAGCTTCTGTAAATGTAAAAGCCAACAGTCAACCACAAAATCAAATTTGTCACTATTTTACCACAACATACACAAGCTGTGATTTAATGCATCCAAGTCAAACACTTGAGGTCAGATTTCACTGTCAGAACTTGCTCATATCTGCTCTGTTACTCATGCTGTAACATGTCTAGATATTTTTCTGTGATGCGTGGTGAGTGATTATATTTATTACCATAATACAAAGAAGCTACATCCTAATTACTTTCAAAGATGTGCAGTAATTTTTTTTAGATAATTGCATGAATAATAGCTGTAAGGAATAATTCAGGCTGCGCACAAGTGTCATGATAAATAGGATAGTGGTTTAAAAACAGCTCTTATGCTTTTTTGCGTTATAACAAACACATTCATGATCAAATGTACTAGAAAAGAATTGTATGTGGGTACATGCCATGTTTCTTTAGTAAAGCAATTTCTTTTTAACAGTGAAGTACTAATGTATTTTCTGCTGCTCAGTGATCTCATCAGCTCAGCTTTGCCACTGCAACCCAGATACTGATCTTTTATGTGCAGCATGAAGCTCTTGTCATTGAATGATAAATACATCATTAATCTTTATCTCTTCCACGGGGATTATTCATTCAACTGGAAATGCATTCATATGGAAGTGTTTGACAGGTATTAAACATCTCAAACAAGTTATTGTGTTTTTGACAATTTAAATGCTCCACACAGCCATGCCTATTTATGCTGTGGCACATTTTTGAATTTTCCATAACAGTAATTAGTGATTTTCAGCTGACAGAAATTGTCATCTGCCACAGATGTATGCATTGCTTATTAAACTGCTCCCTCGGCCAGTTGGCTTGTAAGCACATGTGGGTTTACACACACAGTTTGTGTCCTTTGTTTCCTGGACTGTAAGTGTGTAAGCAGCTCAGTACATACACACACACACACACACACCTGGCCATTCATCACTGTCTATCTTCCTCTGAGGCAGCAGATGTTGCAACCCCATCATAATTCTTTGGAAGTTTGAAGCCAGGCTGTGTCTTAAGGGCTCCTGGGGTCTAACCTACTTACACTGCAGCCTGAACCTCACTCCAGCCTATCATTGAGTAGCATGTTGTCTTCCTGTGCATTAACATTGCATCTGATAGGTATGTATTCAAGGCCTGTTCAAAATATAAAGTGAGATAAGTAGATACTTCTCTGCTTTTGCTGATTGCTGATGTATGCTTGCCCATTTTCAGTGTTTAAGATCTGAAGAAAATGTCTCATCAATCATACAGTATGTGCAATAGAGTTGTTTTATATTGATATATTTTCTTCTGTGCATCAGAATCATATGTAATACTAATTAAACCAAACATTGTTCTATGCACAGCATTGTAAATTCACTCACTCATCCTTTCTCACTCCACAACCAAACTAAATAAATATGTCACAAGCTGTCAGCATAAGTCCTCAAAACTAACATATTTCTGTCCCTACATAACATTTTCAGCAAAAACACACTTTTCATCTGAGTTTAATGCATGGAGAAGCAAGTTATTCCAACGCAGATATGCAGCAGCACGTTATCAATTTTCACAAAGCTACTCGAAATACATTTTTTATATGTGTAAGACTCAAGCAATGAAAGGAATGAGAATTAGTCTATATTTTCATTCCAGAAGGAAATGGTAAAACGAAGCAGAATTGAATTGTAAGAAATGATTGGAAGCACCAACACATCAGTTTGACTAACAGCGGATTTCTATTTTAGCTCTGGCTGCACATAGGTCATGAAAAGTTATCTTCTGTGAAAATCAGCAGGATAGACATGTCTCTGTAGCACTTGCTTATTCCTTAATGTGTTGCCCTATATCAGTTTAAGCCACTGTCCTCCATAGTACCTTGTTAATTATGGATCAAGAACCATGTCTATACTATAAACAAAGTCCAGAAACTGATTTGAATTTTAAATGATAGGTCATAAATTGATATTTTATTCAAATACAGACATGAAGTTAATCATAGACTTACTCAGAGATTAACTCGTCGTAAATTCAGTTGACCATGTTGACTATGAGCTTCTAAAGCATGTTTACAGTGGTGATTTGTTTCTGGATGCAGGATTGTAGACTTGAGGGTTATCCTTTGAATAACCCTAATGGAAAAAAGAGGAAAGGGTTTATTTTTATAAACCTAAAATCAACTTTAGAAAGAGTCAGTGAAAGTAAAATGGTTTAACCTTTATTTTGTGCAAAAATCAATGAAGATGTCAAGCTGAAATTTCCACATCTTTCCTAGAGATTAAATTATTTTTTATTGTATTTTACCTTAATACTCTTTTTTTTTTTTTTTTTTTTTTTTTTTTTTTTTTTTTTTTTTTTTTTTCCAATAGGATAGAAAGAAAGAAAAGACAAAGTAAGACTCCAAAATATAAGAAATATATACAAATAGAGCACACGTCAAAACACCCGGCCACTGTCTGTTCACCTGCAAAGAACATGACAAAACATAGCAACAAAATACATATGTATAAAGAACTTAAAATATTCATGGCTTTGCAGTAAGTTTCCATAAATATATATACCCATACCTACGCCTATATACATACATACATACATACACATGAATATACACTCACATACATATCTATATATCTACATTTAAAGCCTACATAAACATCCCTGCTTCTATTTGTGTGTGGTTGTGAGCATGCATAAGTGTATAAGGCTTCTCTAATAGAACATTTATTAGTAACTGTGAAGCAGCAGAGACCC